AAAAAGAGAAAGCTCTGCTTCAGACCATATAACTCAGTCCTACCAGAGACTCTAAAATTTCCACTCCTAACCACTGCACATGCATTAAACCACTGGTCTACTGACAAAATGATAGCATTCATGAATCAACATTGGTGACGGAATATTAACAAGACCATAAAAAGTACCTACCTCACTTGTCCCACTTTTCCAAAATACAGCCAAGAGAAGCCTGTTTGAACTGCTCCTGGATATTTTAAACTTCCTGATGAACCACTCTTGGTTTGGCAAATGGGTTTGATACCATTCCCCCATCTCATAGAGATAAATATGTTTTAGTCATGGCCTGTGTGTTTTCTGACTGGACTGAAGCCTTCCCTTGCAGACAGGCCACTACCTCTTCTGTGGCTAAAGTCCTTGGAAAAGATTATCCCTTCTTGGAGAACTCCTCTTGAACTTCATAATGATCGAGGAGCCCATTTTACTGGTCAGGTACTTCAGCAAGTCTGCACTATTTGGCTGGTTTTACAATACTTTCACTGCACTCACCACCTTCAATCCTCTGGTTTAGTTGAACACACTAACAGCATTATTAAGACTCGCTTGGCAAAGTTTGTAGAGACCCTGCAGTTACCTTGGCCAAAAGCATTCCTGTTGGTCATTCTTAATCTCAGATCCACCCTTTTTGGAACTCATAAAACTCACCCTTTGAGATTGTCACAGGACACCAATATTCTTGGCTCCTGCCTCTTTGGACTCACAGCTGATAAAAGGAGATATACTCCAATATTGCAATGGCCTAATTGCTTCTATAAACAATAACCATGTTTTGGTGGAGTAGTCTTTCACAGTGTGCTCCAGGGAGATAAAGACTTTTAAGCATCACACCTTGCAACCTGGAGATTTCACCTATTGGAAAAGACACCTCCAGAAGGACTCTGTTTAACCTTGCTGGAAAGGCCGCTATCAGATACTATTAACCTCACCAGAAAGGCCCTCTATCAGATACTGTTAATCAACCCTTGTGCCGCAAAACTCAAGGGAATAATCTCTTGGATTCATGTGACATACCTAAAAATAGCATGAAACCCTGACTGGACCTGCACATCATCTGGTGCCTTAAAAGTAAAGATTTCCCAGAATTGAAGCAGACGACACCTGATGAGACAGCTTTCCCAAGATGTTCGGGACCAGGCCTGTTGGAAGGTTGTCTGGCAAAATCTTTGATGATGATGTAACTCTTCGGACGATCTCTAATGCCTATGATCTTGATTACATATGGACTTTAGAAAAGAAAGAGTTCTCCTATTCTATGCCTCCTTAGTACTCGATGTGGCCACATTAGGTTTCTAATCCATGCACTTTCTCTCCAATGTGGGACATGATGCTCAGGAAATGTCCTTCCTGGCATCAAGGGACAAAAGGCTGCTAGAACTGGAAAAAAAAAAAATGACTCTTGATTAGCTATGCTTTTAAAGATCTCAATCAGAAGGGGAAATGTGAGAATTAACAAACAGAAACCATATTAAAATGGAGTCAGGAAGCCAAATGGGGGAGCTCTCATGCCCTAGATCAAGTGCTGAGCCCAACAGGAAGAAGAAAGACTTCTTCTTAATTAGCAAGAAGCTCAGCCAATGAGAGACTGTCACAAGTCAGCCAAGAAAAAGCCATTACACTTTGAACTCCCAGATTCCTCCAGTAGACTCCTTATTTACACAATGTATAAAGATATAATCTATGACACCAGTAACATAGAAGGGGGGAATGGAGATGTGTAGGAGAAGAGTTTTTGTATGCTATTGAAGTTAAGCTGCTATAAATTCAAATTAAATTGTTATAACTAGGATGTTAAATGTAATCCCCATGATAACCACAAAGAAAATATCCATGAAATACACACATAAGGAAATGAGGAGAGAATCAAAACATTTCACTACAAAAATAAACATAAAAGATGGTAGCAATGGAGGAAATGAGGGACAAACAAGCTATATGGCACATAGAAAACAAATAGAAAAATGGCAGAAGTCCATCCTTATGACTAATTACTTTACATTTTTACATGTAAAGTAATTTAAATGCTCTAATCAAAAGAGAGATTAACAGAATGTATTAAAAAAAAAACATGGTCCAACTACATGCTGTCTGTAAGAGACTCACTTTAGATTAAAAAAACACACATAAAAGTTGATAGTATGGGAAATGATGGGAAATGATATTTCATGCAAATAGTAACCAAAAGAGAGATGGAGTGGCTGTACTAATATCAGACAAAATAGACTTTAAGTCAAAAACTCTTATAAGAGACAAAGAAGGATATTATATAATTATAAAGGGTCAATTCACCTAGAGATAAACGTTTATAAACATTTATTCACCAAACATCAGAGCTCCAAAATATATGAAGCAAATATTGATAGAACTGAAGATAGAAAGAGACAGCTCTACAATAATAGTAGGAACTTCAATACCTCAATTTCAATAACGTATTAAACAACTAGATAGAAGATAAATAAGAATAGATTACATGAACAACACTACATATCAATTGAACCTAACAGAAATATACAGTACACTCCACCCAACAACATAATACACATTTTTTTCTCAAGTGCACGTCGAATTTTCTCTAGGATAGCCTATATGATAAGCCACAAAACAAGTCTTAATAAATTTTGAAAGACTGAAATCATACAAAGTATCTTCTCCAATCACAATAAACCTAGAAATCAACAGCAGAAGGAAACTAGGAAATTCACAAATATGTGGAAATTAAACAACAGACTCAAACAACCAATAGGCCAAAGAAGAAACCACAAGGGAAATTAGAAAACTGAGATGAATGAAAATGAAAACACAACATACGAAACTTACGGGATGCAGTGAAAGCAGTGCTCAGAGGGAAACTTATAGCCTTAAATGCCTACATTAAAAAAAAGAAAAAAAGACCTCAAAATAACCTAACCTCACACTTTAAGGAACTACAAAAAGGAGCAAACTAAGTCCAAAGCTAGCAGAAGGAAGGTAATAAAGATTAGGGCAGAAATAAACAAAAAAAGAGCATAGAAATACAATAGAGAAAATCAATGAGACCAAAAGTTGGTTCTTTGAAAAGATCAACAAATTGGCAGCCAGACTGGCAAAGCAAAAAAAAAAGAGAAGATCCAAGTAATTAAAATCAGAAATGAAACAGTACTACTACTGACCTTACAGAGATAAAATTAAGATTATAGGTAAGTACTATGAGTTGTACACCAATAAATTAGATAACCTAGAAGAAATGAACAAATTTCTTGAAACTTACAAATTACCTAAACTGATTCAAGAAGAAATAAAATCTCAGCAGACCTCTAACAAGTAAAGACTTTGAATCAGTAATCAAAAATCTCCCCAAAAAGAAAAGTCAGAGACCACCAATTGGTAAATTCTGTCAAACTTTTAAAGAAGAATTAACACCAATCCTTCTCAAACTCTTCCAAAAAAACTGAAGAGAAGAAACATTTTGTAACTCATTCTATGAAGTCAGCATTACTCTGACACCAAAGACATCAAAAGAAAAGAAAATTATATCCTTTATTAATATAGATGTAAAAATTCTCAACAAAAGATTAGCAAATTGAACTCAACAGCATATTAAAAGGATCATTCACCATGACCAAGTTTGATTTATCTATGAATGAAAGGATGCCTCAACATAAGAAAATTAATCAGTATAATACTTTACGTTAGCAGAACAAAGGGAAAAAACCACATGATCATCTCAATTGATGCAGAAAAGGCGTTTAACAAAATGTAACACCTTTTCATGACAAAAGCCCTTAGAAAACTAGGAACAGAAGGAAATTTCTCAACATGATAAAGGGTACTTATAAAAAAAAGTTAACTTCATACTCGATGGTAAATGACTAAGCATTTCCCCTAAGATTAAGAACAAGACAAGGATGCCGAATTTCATCACTGTTATTCAGCATTGTACTGCAAGTTACAGCCAGAGCTATTAAACAAGAAAAGGAAACAAAAGCCATCCAAATTAGAGACAAAGACATAAAATGATCTGTATTCACAGATGACATGATCCTATTGACAGAAAATCCCAAAGAATCCAAAAGAAAGCTACTAGGGCTAATAAATGAAGTCAGCAAAGTTGCAGGCTACAAGATCAACAAACAAAAATCAGTTTTGTTTCTATATACCAGCAAAGAACAAACCAAAAAGTAAGTTAAGAAAGCAATTCCATTTACAATAACCCCTAAAATAAATACCTTGTAATAAGTCTAACCAAGGAGGTGAAATACTTGCATACTGAAAACTATAAAACATTGCTGAAAGACATTAAAGAAGACCTAAATAAATTAAAAGACATCATGTGTTAATACATAAGACTTAACATTGTTAAGATGTCAGTACTACCCAAAGTGATCCAAAGATTCAATGTAGTCCCTATCAAAGTTCCAACATCCCTTTTCACAGAAATGGTAAAGCTGATCCTCAAATTTATTTGGAATTCCAAGTAATTTATTTCGAATTCTAACTTTAATCATCTCTTCTCTTAATTTTCATATTTTCTGCTTAAAATGTTCTAATTCACCATAAAACAGTAGTTCTAATTCATCATAAAACCTATCCTATTAATATTGCTGGTAAATATCTTGAAAATAGGTGAGTCATTTTGCTTTTATCCATTTCATCCTATCAAGCTACTACCAACATATTCGGCGTTAAATTATACTTTGACCAATTACACATCTCATTCTACAATTCGAAAATTAGTTGAAGTCTATTGCAGCTGTAAAGATGTAAAAGCTCTATCAATTTCATACTAAAAAGTGGAGAAAATATAAAATAGTGGAGCACTGACAAAGCTATCAAACTTATGTCCTATAGATGTAGATACTATTAATGGCATCATCTTTGTGTACCAAGGATAGCAGCTTCCACATATCTAGGTACAAGTAGTATTGTGTGCATATATTATGTCATGTTTCTTTTTCTAGCTCTGAAAATACCGTAAAATATCTTACCCATTGCTGTTAACTTCACTGCATCTAGCATGTTTTCACAGGCAGCCAATTCCTGTCAATTAGAGACAACTTTCAGTTTTTGCTTTAGTAAGAAATTCTTGAGATGATAATCATGAAGGTTTTATTGAGCATTTATTAACATGATGTCCCGGGCAGTAATAAAAGTGAGTCAGACTTAACCCCAGTCATCTAGAAAATTAAAATCTAAAACAGTACATGCAACAACAGAATATGTAGAGAGAGGATTAACTCCGTCTATACCTCACTCTATGAAGCTCAATTGTCTAGGTTAACTAGCCTTGAATAAATACAACCAGAAATGAGGAAGTAAAGCCCGAAGAGTTTCTGAGCATTCAAGGTAGATGTCACAAAGTCTATGTAAAAAAAAAAAGGCTCACAAACTGTACAGAAGAGTCTGTCATGTATGCCTGTGAGGTGTTTTTCCCAGTTAACTTTAGACTTTGTTTATTTGGCTTTTTTAATGTATGATTTTTTTACACATTCAAATTAAGTCTTCATGGTTTGGATCTCATGCTTGGAAAGGCATTCCCCACTTTCAGATTATAAAAATAATCACTCTTGTTCTCTTCTTAATTTCTTTTTATTAATTTTATTTTTTCAAGTTTTATTGAGATATAATTTGAAATTGTATTAGTTCAAGGTGTACAACATAATGATTAGATATATGTATATATTGTGAAATGATTACCACAGTAAGTTTAGTTAACATCAATCATCTCACAAAGTTGTAAATTTTTTTCTTGCGATGAAAATTTTAAGATCTACTTTCTTAGCAACTTTCAAATATACATTACCGTATTGTTAACTATAGTCACTATGCTATACGTTAATTACATCCCAGAACTTATTTATTTTATAACTGGAAGTTTTTACCTTTTTATCACCTTCACCCCATTTTCCCCACCCCCCCCCCCCACCTGCCACCTCTGGCAACCACCAATCTATTTTAAGTTCTCAATCTTAATAATTGATTGATTTGTTTTGATGTAAGAAGTGAGGTGGAATTTCACCTTTATCTTTCTCCCCCAATTGTCCCTACACCATTTATTGAATAACTCATCTTTTATTAACTGATTTGAAATGTCCAATTTATCATATACTACATTCTCATATATGTTTAAGAGAACTTCTGGATTCTCCATTCTGTTCCATTGATCCATCTCTGCATCTATGGTAATAGATTACCACAATATTTTAATTACTTGCAGCTTTATAACATCTGGTAGGGATCATCTCCCCTCATTATTCTTCCTTTTGGAATTTTTCTAGAAATACTCACATGTTTATTCTTCCACATAAAAGTTTGGGGATTTTGACTGGAATTGCATTAAATTTATAATGAAAAAAGGCTTTTAATATATTTAAAGAAGATAGCAAGGGCCAGATTTTGTAGAGTGGTGGTAAGAAATTTGAATTTTATTCTCAATGTAACCATAACCCAATGGAGCTTTGAGCATTTGGGCTGCTGTGTGGAGTACCTCCCCTATGACTTTGTAAGCTGCTTGATGGCACTGACTATAATTCAGTAAGCCTTGTATCCTTTATAGTACTTATCACGTGCCTTTCCTCTAATATGCACTCAATGTTTGTATAATGAACAAAAATCAGATAGTAGTAGTACACAGCTCTTATCCGTGGATCACCAATGGTCCAAAAACCACACTTTGAGAACCACCATGATAAAAGGCCTTGAATGGAAAGTCTGGTAAACAAGAAGTTATGACTGCCTAGCTATGAAATAACTAGATCCCCAATAATGCTGTGATGTGGTGATTAAGAATAGGATGAAACAGGTGCGTACAGAGGATATTGAAAGAATTTTAGAGGCAGGACAGTAAATAAAACCTGCAAAGTACTCAGCTAAGCAATAAATTACTATGATGGCAAACTCTCAAAAATTTCTTTGCAAAAAGAGAATGCTTTGCAAACTTAGCAATGAACAGAAGTAAAGACAAATGGACATATGCATATTAGAGAAAAACATAAAGCTCAAAGCTAATTAATCATTACATTCATGTCTATGATGCATAGTAGGTAATTTAGCTTTCCTATTATTTTTCTACCGTGAATATTCATTAAAATTATTCCCAGAAAACTCCTAGTGTATATTCAGGTACATGAGGCAGATTGGGAAGTAAATATGGTCGGGAACTGTACAGATACAGGTTCACGGAAGTGGGAGGGTCTAGTGATATATTTTTTCCTTGGTGATAGTAATGGGCACTGTTTGGAAAGCTAAGGAAAGTAAATTTTCGAAATAGAGAGACTCACTCTCATTCAATAATAAATGTATTAATTTCCAACCGGGTGTCAGATACTATGCTACAAAAAACTTTAAAATTATTTTTTACCTGGAAAAATGTACTTCTGGAATAGTTAACATGTTGGGCATAGTATTCTGATTGATGATCTAATCATGCAAATTAATGCCAGTTAGAGAAATGATGTGGGAACTTGTAGGGATAGAATAGAATAAAAGGCATGGAAGGATAGAGACCCAGTTCTTACAGATCTGTAATGGGGCTTTGCATCATTTCAACAGATGGATATGTTGAAAACTAGAAAACTTTTTGTTATTTTATTTTGGCCATTAAGACACATTCTCTAATCAAAGGGAACAGAAACTTGGCCTGATTTAAACGAGATTTATATATATAAGTAGATGTCAACATTTTCATTACAAAACTCTTTTATAAGGTTTCCTTATCTATAACCTGTGCCTTGTTCCAGCCACATATTTACTCCATTAAAAATCTAGGCTACTGCTTTCATATTGGCTTTTCTATAGAATTCTTTAGGCTGTGCATCACATAAATGATTGCCTTGAGTGCCACAGAACTCTATCACAGGAACTACGGCTGTTACTTTGCTCCCTTTACTTTCCAATAAAACCATTCAAATGAACTTTTAAATCAGAAATTTTGAATCCAGCTCCTTGGACTCCTCGAGGCTGTCTGTGGATGGACTTCAGAAGTCAAAGAACTGTACGGAAAATTTGTTGTGGATGAATATTGTTTGCTGGGTAGTCAGTCATTAGCTTCTACAAGTGAGTGTGGTCTTAAAAGCTACAAGATTCCGTACTCTAAAATCTTAGCTATCAATACCTAAAATTCTATCACAGGTCATTTGTATCACAGCATTCCTTTTTTCAAAGATCCTCTTTTAAAGTCAAAATTTCCCCAGGAGAGACAACACATTAAGCCCCTGAAATTTCCATGAATTATTTCCCCTATGACTTTTTGAGCCCTACTATAAGTCAAGCAATTTATGTGTAATCATTTTATGTTAATGAATCATTACAACCACCTTTGGATATTGATAGTACTATGATCTTGATCTTAGATGTAGAAGTTGAAGTTTAGAGAGGTTAAGTAACTTCCAGAAAGTCGCGTACATGGGTCATAATTAGCAGAGGTAAGATTCACACCCAGCCTATGCCTTCCTTACCCTCAGCCCTGAACTAATACCACGAAGCGCCACGGAATAAGGAGAAAAAAGCTTACTTTAATTAGGCGCAGGATTTCTGGGCAGTCTCGAGCCTCCGCAGGTCTTATTCGGAAAGAATTCATGCCTGGTTCCCGGGAGGCTGATAGCCTCGCGCCTGCTTGGCTCGGACCTGGTTGGCTCGGACCTGGTTGGCTCAGGCCTGGTTGGCTCAGGCCTGGTTGGCTCCTGCTTGTTTGCCTTGTGCCTGATTGGCTTGGGCCTTGTTGACTCAGGCCTGATTGGCTTGAGCCTGGCTGACTCATGCTTGATTGGCTCCACTCTAGTGAACTCAGGCCTAGTTGACTCATGCTTGATTGGCTTTGGCCTGTTTGACTCGTGCTTGATTGGCTCCAGTCTAGTGGACTCAGGCATAGTTGACTCACGCTTGATTGACTTGTGCTGGGTTGGCTCGGGACTGGTTGCCTCATGCCTCGTTGGCTTGTGCTGGGTTGGCTTGGGCATGGTTGCCTCATGCCTGGATCACTCAGGCCTGAGTAGTTGGGGCCTGGTTGCTTCCTACCTGGTTGACTTGTGCCGGCTTGACTCGGGCATGGTTGCTGTTGACTCTTTCTTGACAGGTTCATGCATGATTGGCACATGACTTGTTGCCAGAGGACTGATTGGCTTGGGCCTGGTTGGCTCAGGCCTAATTGGTTCATACCTGGTTGCCTCATTCCTGATTGGCTCATGCCCGGTTGTTTCATGCCCAGTTGGTGGGTGTTGGGTAGGCTTGTGCTTGGTTGGTTCATGTCCAGTTGGTTCATACCAAGTAAACTTGTGCCTGGCTGGCTGGTGCCTGGTTGATTCATACGTGGTAAGCTTGATTGGTTCATGCCTGATTGGTTCATGCCCAGTTGATTCGTGCCTGGTTGTTTTGAGGACTGGTTGACTTCAGAATGGTTGGCTGAGAACTGGTTGACCAATGACTAAGTCTCTCGATGGAACAGGAGCCCTTGACTACAGTGCTGTGGCAGGAGGCTATAGGATGTTTCTGGTTTTTCTCAACTCGATTCGTACTTCAAGGTAGACCTATATCAAGATGAGAATGGGAGAAATAAAGGAGGGCTACCGGAAGAAGATTATTGATGCCTCCGATTTGCTGGAGTTGACCTCACCAGCAATCACAGCTGTAGACTTGGCTGTTTCAGGTTGTCATCTGGCCCTTCCCCATCAACAAGCCCTGAGTGAGGGGAAAAATAAAATGACCCCGGAGGACTGTTACCGTCTAACCCCCTTGCACAGTCACTGCGTCATAGTGATGAGGTCACAATGCCCGTATCTACGCGCCTACGTGCTCCCCCATGTGGTGAAGGAGGGGCAAAGCAGGGCCCACTTCACCACAGCTCTGTTTCCTCCTCTCCAAGAGCTTAAGAAGATGAAGCAAGAAGCTGGACGGAGTCTCAGGGCTTATGCTTGGCAGTCACCCTAAGAGTGCATGCTGTTTTAACCAACCAATTCAAAGATACTTGCCCTAACCCTTTCTTCCCCATGCCCCAGTCCTGAACTAATTCACTTCCTATTTCTGTCCTGACTTCAACTTACTACCTCTTTTCTGTAGGCATAGAAACTAGAATGCTTAAAAGGGTTGTCCTAATGAGGTGCTCAAGGACCTTGTGCAGAAAATATTTCTTTACAAATAATTAAGAATAACTGTGGTTACTATTCATTGAGTTATTTTATGACCTAGGCTCAGTGGGAAGCACTTTACATTTTCTCATTCAATCCCATAGCAACCTTATTAACCCCAATTCTGAGGAAACTGGTTCAAAAGATTTGATAACCTAACCAAGGCCCCAACAGTTGGTGAAGTGCCTGAATTCAGACCCAGGTTTATCCAACTCCATTTCCAAGCCTTTTACTATCATACTCTCCTGCCTTTTACACACATTATACTTATTCCCCACCCCCATATCTGTGAGATGAGGTATATTGTCCTTTCACTCTATCCTGCCTTGCAGAATTCCTTCTCCCATCATTGTATCTGTTGGCTCATTTCCTCAACAATGTATATTCTGTAACCAATATAAATATTATTGTAGATGGAGAGTCTCTTACTTTTTAAATGTACCAGAGAACCTTGGTTGAGGCTGTTCTGAGTCTCACATTGTGCTAAGGGCTTTATATATGCATTATTTCATTTAACCATTGAAGCAACCCTGTGAGATATGTACTGTTGTTCCCCATTTTATCAATAAAGAAACTGGAACTTAGAAACATTAATTAATTTTCCCAAGTCTAACACATGCCAGAATGGGGACAGAGCCTAAGGCCCATCCCATAGACAGAAGGGTTCAAATAAAAGTATAGAGCACAATCACCATTCAGCATATACTGGCTATAAATGGAACCTAGAGAGCCCACCTTCTTAGCATGACAAGCAAATCAAGCCACATCACAGAACTATACCAAAACTAACACAAATTAGATGTAGGTACATTTTTTATCTTGATACACTTGTAATAATAGAGCTAAAATTTCATGAATGTTTCCCGTGGTTTCAGGCATGGTTCTAAGGAACAAATTACTTGTATTAACTCATTTAATCCCCACAACAATCAAACTACCAGTGAGGTAGATGATATTATTATGCCCTTTTCTCAGGTAAAGATATTGAGATTCAGAAAGGTTAGGTAACTTGATTTAGGTCACACAACTAAAAGTAGAGACAAAATAAGGAAAACTCAGTTATCATTTTGGTTTTTCTGAAATGCCAGGAAAAAGGTGAATGAATTTTGATGTTTGCTTTCCAAATAAAACCATATGCATAACTTATTGTGGGGATGGATGACGTTTGTTTTTTACTTTTTTAGAGGAGGACGCATGTGTTAGGTTTCTGGTTGATGCTTTAAAGGGGTAAAATTAGAAATTACAGTTTAGTGATCTAGAACTGTTAACAAGTTTCTTTTTTATTTTGGTTCATGAAAATTTATATCACTTGAAGGCCATTCAGCATTAGTTTGTGCTTTTCTTTTTAAAGAATGTTGGGTTTGAACATTATGTGATTGTGATTTTAAGAGGATACACCAAAATGCATATTCTTTCTCACATTAACGCAACTTGTCTCATCTTAGAAGCACAGAATGAAATTGCCTCCATCAGCCATGTAAATCTCTCCCCACTGTAGCTAATACACCATCAGGGAAAAAATAGAGGGTTTTTTTAGCATTTAAACAAAACCTTCAATAATCAGTCTTTGCCACAAGGTGGCAGTGTTATCCAGTTGAAGAACCAAAAGTCTAAATGATAAATAGTTTGTTTACATTTAATAAAACTTTAATAAAAGTTCAAATAAATTATTTGAATTTGAGGCTTTTATCACTTTCATATCTTATCAGAAAATTTCCAAAAATATAATTTCAGTCTTAACACACTATTTTATTACAGATCTAGTCTAGGTAGTGAATTTTGTAAGTCAAGACCTGCCAAATTCTCTTTCTAAGACTTCAGAATGTGCATGCATTGTCTGCTCTACCAAAATGTTTTAATTTAATATAATATATAAAGCCACCCCCATAGATCTGAAAATATGGATATGTTTATGCATTTAAACTCTAATGACTACAATATATAAGATCCCCGTTTCTGAAGATGCTAAGTAACATCCAATATTCTGAATTCTGACTCCAGCTTGGTTTCATTTAAATGAATATTCACAACTGAGAAAGTCGTTTGTGTAATTTTCATCTATAGCAAGCAGAGTTTCAATTTGTTGTAATCTCTCTATAGCTTGGAACCAGTATCTTTTTCCTGTCCCTTTTACGTTTACGAGCTTTTTGTTTTTACCCCTGTAAAATGCAAACAAACAAAGAGAAAAAAAGAAAATGAAAAGGCAGAAAATTGAGTGAGGGGAGAGGGCTTAAGGCAAAGAGCTAGACTGGAACAGAGCTAACATATAGAGTATTTTCTGAAATAAAAACTTAAAGTACTTTAGAGTCATTCATCAATAAGCAGCACTTAATACTTTTATAATATTTGCTGTATTCTAGTTTATCAAAGAATACATACTCATTGTAAAACATTTGGAAAATACCTGTAACAGACAAAAAAATTACCTCTAGACCTTGCTCTGATTGGAAATTAGCACACCTAAGAATTTGAGTTTTCTTCCATTCCAGACATCATTAGTAAATTTCCAATTAAGGGAAAATCATCACTTTGCTTATGCTGTCTCTTTGCTTAGCTGAAGAGGCAGATCAGGGATACACGGCTTTTTTGCTTAGAAAAGTTCCCCAACAGCAACTTTTTATGAAAGGCAAGATGGGTCCAGAGCATGATCTGGGATGGGGAATTAAATTGCTTTGCATTTAAAAAGAACTTAGCGGCCAGCCAGCGGCGGCATATTGGTTAAACTTGGCAGGAGCCACTTCCACAGCCCAGGGTTCATGGGTGCGGACCTCCACCACTCATATCAAGCCACGCTGTGGCGGCAACCCACATACAAATAGAGGAAAGATTGGCACATATGTTAGCTCAGGGCCAACTTTTCCTCAAGCAAAAAGAGGACGGATTGGTGAACAGATGTTAGCTCAGGGCCCAATCTTCCTTACCATAAAAGAAAGAAGCACTCAGATCATGTTCAGGGAGCACTCTGGAGAATCTCCAGGAACCAGGAAAAGAAAGGTTAAATGAACAGGAGAAGTTCTTGGCTTGTGGAGCACAACCTGGCAAAATGGTGGTAGGCTGAGTCCTAGGGTACAAGACAGCCAGTAAAGGTTCTCTTTAAGATGTTAGTATTGTTTTAAATTGTTTCATATTAGATGCTGCGTGGACATATGCCTCCCTCCTCTCCAGTAATTTAGTGGAGGTCACTTACCACACACTAGCCTGGTATTTGTAGTAGTTTTTGGTCATGAAGGTGGAGGGATGAAGGCTACATGCCAGGCAGAGGTGCTGAAAGAAGACAGCAGCTGTAGGAGTTGAACCTAGGGACTGAGTAAACAGACTGTAGATTGGACTGATGTGTGAACAGATATATAAGAAGAAGTTTACCCTGGAGAAGGAGGGATGGGTAAAGAGTATAGATCCTGCTGTTACCTGGGGTAGGAACTCAAGACATTTGGTTTTTACAGGAATAAGTGACTCCAGAAGACTGGGAGACATTGGGCTACCTAAGAAATGCATGAAATAGAAATGAAAAATCTCTCAGAATACTATCTGGAGATAACCATTATCTACATTTCAATGACTATCTTTCTACTCTTTCTCTCTCTACACACACACATATATATATATAATTTTTTTAATTAAATTGACGTCATAGTAACTATCTTTTTTTACTTAACATATCATTTGTCTTCCCCAGCTACTGTAGCATTACATGGAACGTTTAAAAAATTTGCTACCATTTAACAAATATTTTATTAAACACCAACCATGTGCGAAATTGTTTGAGGCCATGTTGAACATTTATCAAGGGCCAGGTACTATGGCAAATATTTGATATACATAATCCCATTTAATCTTCACATTGAGGTGGGCATAATGATCCTGATTTCACAGAGAAGGAAATTGAAGCTTAGAGAAGTTAACCTGCCTGGGATCAAACAAGTTCGAAATAGTTCAGCCAGGATTCAAACCCAGGACTAGTGTGACTTCTGAACCCACTACTCTGAACCAGATGCTGAGTCACTTCACTGTTTATGTATGTGTTCTCTTTTATTTAACCAATCCATATTTGATGTGCTTTTAATTGTTTCCAGTTCTGTGGTATCAAACAATGTGCCAGTGAGCATATTTGTGTAATAAGTTTTTAAATAAATATCACTTTAAATATTCCTGGAAAACTTGGAAACTTTTTGCAAAAATAGCAGTAGATGAAGCCCAGACAAAAGCTCTATTTAAGATGTTTAAATACCTTTCATTTGATATATAGGACACAGTTAAAAGATCTCCCTCAATATACAAGTGTTAGCAAATACCTAATAAGTGTCAAGTTAGAACATTCTCTTTGTGTTAAAAAAACGTGTTTTTACTCTAACTCCTCAGATATTTTAAAGAGAATCAGAAGAAACTAGTGGAGAAAAGCTATCCTTAAAAGGAGTTTTGGATATCATTAGCAGCAATTAATGATATTTAACATTTCTAGTCTTTTCCATTTTATTTTAATAACAAAGAATAAAATCAGGATAAAGATATTTTTAAATTAAGTGAATAAAAGACTAAAAGAAAAAAAAATCCAAGTACTAGAATAAAATAATTCAGGAAGTATTTATTGAATAAATTATACCCACTTTAATTCTTAGTTATTAAGAAATTTAATGTAATTTAAATCCTGCTTTTTGCCCTTCAAATAATCTTCCTTTTAAACTGCCTCATAACCCAGCTAAATATTATTATAACCTTCCTTTTCTTGTCTCTTCAAATATTCCTGCTCCCGCACTAACGCTCTGGGAAAGCCTCGCTCTCCGGCGCGCAGTGGAGGTGAGGCAGGGGACTGATGGTGCAGCTGTGGCCCCAGAGAAATTTTATATTCTCTTCCCCTTATTTGTACTCACTAATCTTAATAACCTTTAACCATTTAATTATTGTCTTTCTGAAATGTCCCCAGTTTAAATGGAAATCCCAGCTCCAAAAGAGGAACAATGGATAGTCTCTCTCCACCTCCAATCAAGAAGTGACATTCTTGGAGAAAATGAGAGGTGAGATTAGAAGCTCTTAAGAAAGACATAATTCTGGGGGGAAAGCAGACCAAAAAGGCTATAAAGGTTCAAGAAATTGAGACTTCAGTTTACCTTGCAGTTATTCAAGACAGCAGGAAGCAAAGATAAAGGAATCACATTTCCAGAAACTTTGTGTCAATTGTGTTTCATGAGAGAGTTCTGCTTCATTTGAACTTTGGAACTGGAAAAATCATAACAATAATCTACCTTCTGTAATATCTAGGGCTATTGTGGATAAGGTTATTACCATGAACATTGTGCTTAGTTAATAAGTACTCATCAGAGGTTAGTGCTTTTGCAACATATACTCTAAGACACACTCTTTTTCTTCTGCAAGCCTATCTGTTACCAAAAAAAATTAGTTAACCATCATAGAGAGTGGTGACAAAAAAAAATGAGTCCTGCTTAAGTTGACCCTGAACCCTGTGCCATCAAACTGGTTTGGTGACGATATTCTCAACATTGTAATGGCTTTCAGTTGGCTGGAGTGTAGAGAAGTTTGGAGGATAAGCTCAGAATTCAAAATACTCTCACAGGTAGGGAAAGAGATAGCAGAAGAACGTTGAACTCAGCATCAACAAAACCAAAACCAAAACATAACAAACATAAAAAAGTCCTAGTACAAAAATCAGTTCTGTGCTTCTTAGTAACTTTGAGGGCTTAAGAAACCTAAACTCCACGGGCCCTAGTTTTCTCATGTGTAAAATGGAAATAATAACAGCTGCCCAACCTATCTCACAGATTTGTTGTGAGGGTCCCTTCAAATGAAAAAAATGTATAATAAAGTACAAATGTAAGGGATTATCATTATATTTAGAGAGAAAATGATATATATAACTGAAAAACAAGAAATGGCTGACTGACCAAGGATATAACAGAAAATAATTGAATGGTCCTTGTTAATCTTCTTGACCTCCTCCTTCACATTTTCCTTAAATATTAACGATCCCTGTGTTGCCAGCCTTGGTTACCACCTCAAGCTACCCTTTCCATGGAGGTTCTTATCCACTTGCCACTACCCTACCTACCTCAAACTCTACTTTTTAGCTATATTAAACTTCTTTCACTTCTTGAGTGCAGGCACTCTCCCTCTCATATTCAGGTGTGTCTGTCGTCTTGTTATGCTCTTACCTACTTCCCAACCCCCAACTTCCAATTGCCTATTAATTCTTACTCATTGTTCAAGTCTCAATTCAGACATAACTTTTTGCAGAGGTCTTCCCTGACTACCTTTAGACTAACTTGTCCTCCATGTACTCCCTATTGTACCCCATTCTTCCTCTATACATTGCCCCCTCAAAATACCCACATCAGAACCACCTGGAAACTTACTGAAAGGCAAATTCCTAGGATCCACCCTCTAGAGGTTCTGA